TGGAGGTGGGAGGATAGATGATGGATGGAAGGATGGATGGAGGTGGGAGGATAGATGATGGATGGAAGGATGGATGGAGGTGGGAGGATGGATGGAGGTGGGAGGATGGATGATGAGTAGATGGATGAGCGGGTAGGAGGATGCACAACCTTGGTCTGCCCCTTGCCACCCTGCCCGGCTCTACCTGCTGCTGTTGGGCCCGGAGGTCACCGATCTCCTTCTGGTCCTCCTCATGGAGCCGCTTCATGTCCTCCCACGACTGCTGCAGCAGGTTACGTTCCCGCAGCAGCTGTCCGTTCTCCCGCCTCAGCATGTCCACGTCATCCTTCAGCTGGGTCTGGTCGCTCAGGAGCCGGCTATGGAGTGTGCTACAACCCCCATACACACAGTGAACGGCAGCCAGCCTCCAACCCCCGCCAGCCCCCTTCTGCAGCCCCTCCAGGCCCAGTAGGCCCAGTACACCCGATGGGAGCCCACAGCAACCAGGACAGCAGCACTCAGAGACAGGCCAAAACTCGGTATCAGCCAAATGCCAGAAGGAACCAAACCATCTTTAAAAACCTCATAGCAAAGGGCACACGTATGAAGGCCAAGGCAAGGAGACGAGCCCTTACCTGGTACAGGCCTGGCACCTCTGAGGACTGAGGCCTGGGCAAAGGTCAGCAGGTGGGCAGGTAAAGTGGGTCAGTACCCTCAGAGGGGCCCCAGGAGACCAAAGGGGAACAGGCCCATCCACCTCTCCTACCGCAGGAGCTGCAGCAAAGCCCTTGGACAGTGACCCAGGAGGCCAGCCATCTGCCTGGCCTACTGCCTAATTTTCCCATCCAAGTACTAACCAGGCCCGACCCTGCTTAGCTTCCGAGATCAGATGAGATCAGGCGCGTTCAGGGTGGTATGGCCGTAGACCCTACCGCCTAATTTTTGATCCGTTTCCTACCAGCTCTGCTTCCGAAGCTGTCACTAGCTGGTGTGAAGGGTTCACATCTCAGCCTGCACTTAGAAAAACTGAGACCCAAAGACCCAACCCCACTTGCTGAAGGCCCACTAAGTGCCATGTGGCAGTCCCACTCACTGGTAGAAGTCGGTCTCCTTGGCCACCTCCTCGCACCTCTTCAAGGCATTGGTGTGCTGCTTCTGCAGGCTCTGCAGGTCCGACATGGCCCGCACGCACTGGATCTTCAACCTCTCATAGTCAGGATTCAGCCTGTGGTAGGGCCTGACCCAGACAGCGGCAGTGAACACAGGCCCTGGGATCACTCGGACAGGGGATGTCTCTGCCCGGGGAGCCTCCAGCCCAGTGTCTCCGGATACTGGTCTCCTATGCACCCCAACCACCTGGCACTTGTTCAACTCAGACATCCTGGCCTCCCCAGACCCACAGGATCCCCGGCATGGAGGGCCATGGCTGCATGGGCTCCTTGCTCGGGCCTGGAGAGCTCAGAAGGTACTGTCTTATTCTCTAGCAGCTCCCAGGGAGGCCATGCAGCAGGCCTTCACCCACAGTGGGCCCCCCAGAAACCTGTAAGGAAGCTTCTCCTCTTTTTAGGAAAGTGACTGTCAATCTGGGGATAATCAAAACACCAAGGCCCAGTCCAGTTACATGAGCATCCTTGGACGTATGACCCAGACACCAGGGTGGGGGTTCTGGTGTGCAGCCACTGGTGAGGACACTGGCCCAGAGCACTGCTTCTCAGAGTGGGGTTCCCAGACCTGCAGCATTAGTTTCACCTGGGAATGTGTCAGAAGTGCAAATCCTCAGGTCAGCCCCAGAACTCCTGAATCAGACACGTGGGAGGGAGGGCTAACCAGCAACCTGAGCTTTAACAAGCCCTCTGCTGATTCCGGTGCATGCTCCAGGGTGAGAACCAGGCCTCCAGCTGGCCTTGGTAACCCTGTTCTGTGGGCGGCCGGACAGCAAACGCTGCAGGCTCGGCCAGCCGTCAGTCTCTGGGGGACCCCTCGCTCTGCCTCGGGGACACGAGGCAGGCATTGGACGACAGGCACTCTAGCACACCATGTCTCCACGGGCCCTGCCTCTGTGCTGAGGACCAGATCTTCGTCAAAGCAACCTCAGGGGACCACCTTTGCAGGCCTGACATCACCCCAGAGGAACTTCCTCAGGACGAGGCACTCACACGCCTGATGCTCCTAAAGGCAATCCCCCTCCCCTCAGAACCCCTATCAGCACCTCCTAGAAGGACAAATCAGACTCTATCCCTCCTCCTCCATGAAGCCCTCCTGGATGGGGCAGGTGGGGAAAGACCTTCCCTTCGCCCCCACCATGGACTTGGTATCCACCTCTAAATGCCAACAAAAGAAGTGATCAAAGATTTTCTCCAAAACCACATAGAAGCCAGGTGGAATATACCCTCCTAAAACACACACGTGGCAGGGAACAATGAACATGGGAACACGTAACTAGCAGTGATGAGAGGCACATGCAGACACACAGACGTACGTACACACACACACACAGACATGCACACACAAAAATACAGATGTGCACACACACACAGACGTGCACACACAGACATGCACACACATAGACACAGACGTGCACACATAGACGTGCACACACACAGACACAGACGTGCACACACGTGCCTGCACACAGCCAGACCGGTCGAGGGCTCAGCACGGGGACAACTATCTCCATCAGGAAGGGGCCGCAGACAAGACAGCGAAGAAGTATACTGCCCTGGTGCTGGAAGGCAGAGGCCTCGAGAGAGGCAGTGACGAGCCCGAGGCCACCCAACCAACCCATGACGAGGCACCAACATAGGACCAGGCCCTACCAGCTGCTGCCAAAACCGCCCACCAAACCACCTGCAGAGGACGAGTATATGACAGACACACCCACACTTCTCAGTCTCTGCGTCGTGTGACTCAGGCCACGGGCTCCTATGTGGCTTGGAGGAAGCATAACCGACCTGTGTCCCCTCGCCCCATGCAGGGCTGCAGGGAGGGCGTTTCCAAGCAATGGGGGCAGTGAGGCAAAGGGACACCCTAGCAGCATAGCATGGACCCCCGGGAGCTAAGGATGAGTGTCTGAGGGGGAGGGGCTGGCATGATGGCAGCGGGAGAATAGCCCTGGTCCATCGGGCCTGGCCAGGGAGGCAGGTGCATCACTACCTCTTATCAAAGGTCGTCCCATGGGTCGCGAAGGCCAGGCGCTTCCGCAGTTCATTCCTCTCTCGGGTCATCAGCCGCAGCTGGATGGAGAGGTTCTCCACCTTCTCGTTCACCTGCCGGTCCGTGAGGAGGGGTGGCGGGGATGGAGCCTTCCCGGTGGTACCTGGCAGGGGAAAATCAGTAATAAAGTGAACTGGCATTTAGATAGCACTCGCTAGGTGTGCCAGGCACTGTTCCTAGCCCTTGGCCTGCATCAGCTGCGCCCAACAACCCTACCAGGGGGTTCCTGCTAGCATCTGTCTTTCAGATAACACCAAGTCAGGAGTAAAGGGGGAACGGAGACCTAAGCCCAGGCTGTCTGCTCCAGCACCCCAGCAATACCCACCCATTCTGCTGGCCCTGACTGGAGACCCCTACTCTCTTCCCAGCCCGGCTGTGACACCTCCAAGATGGAACCCTTTGGGCCCTGATCTGCGCATCTCTGCCTGGTCTGGAAACAGCAGCTATTCCCAACCCCTGGGCATGGAGAGGCCAATCTAAGAGAATGGAATACACGGCTCGAGGAGGAAGGGACAGGCGGGACCTAGTGAAGCTTCTGAGGCCCAAGGCAGCTGGCTCTGAAGCTGGGGCCCAGGGGCTGTGTTCCCACCCCCACCCCAACCAGGGCTGAACACACTACAAAGCCCCCTTCTCCAGCCTCTCCAAATGTCCAGAGGACCTGCCCCAGCCGGCCCAGGGCTGTGGGCTCAGAGAAGGCTCTCAGGGAGAGCCGCCCACGGCTAAGGTCAGTGTGACGTGATGCAGGCCAAGTCCTCAGGCCTCTGGCTGCCCAGTCCTTATCAGGCCCTCATCACCTGTGCCCAGGACTCTCCCAAAGGAAACCCCATGCCTTATGCGATTACTAAGGATCAGCAGCAACAGTGACGACCAGCAGTACCTCTGACGAGATCCAAATCCTTTT